ATGGGGCCTTTAGACCTGGGAGCGGCACCCACCCCTCCCCGCAGGTGCCCGAGATGTCCCGGCACGAGCCTGAGACAGGCAGCAGTCCAAGCTGTGTTTTCGAGTCTGCTCCTGGGCCCCCCGGGGCCCTCCAAATCCACATGTCTATTTCTTTTTCTTTTCTGTCGTGGCAAGGAATGCATTTTTAGCTAGATAAGGTAGGTCACCAAAAAGAGAAGAGGCAAGAGGAGGAAACCATCCTAACTTGCCTGTTATGCCTCCAAGGGGGCAAATCTTCCTTTTTCCAGCAAAGGACCTGCTCTCTTCCTGTAACTTCCCATACTCCAGGAAGGACACAATGCCATATGTGACTGTCATGCTCTCTTTAAAGTGAACGCCTCTTCTGATCCCTCAGATGCCTGGGAAAAGACTCAGTGGTGCCCAAATACCATGTATCCCTGGGCGCCACTTTGTTTGCAATTTCGCTCCTAAAGGTGCCCGGCTTCAAAAACCCGCCTCCCTGCAAACCAGCACCTTCCTCCTGGCACATGTCTTTGCAATACATTCTTTAAATAGGGACACAAGGTCACCGTGAGGCTTTCATGACTCCTGACAGAGTTTGTCCCGAAAGGCCAATTTATGCTGCCACCTGTGATGGAAGCATGTGTCAGGCTGCCTACAAACTCAGAGTAAACTCCCAAGCCTGTTATTCTCACGTCTGGTACCTGCGGGGAGCGGGAGGCCAGTCACACTGGGAGCCTTGGGGAAGGGAGACTCCCCCCCACCCCCTCCCTCAGGTCACTGAGGCTCTACTTGCCTGTTGCAGGATCTGTCTGTTCGGGAGCGCTCACAACTTTTTACAGAGGGTTTCTGCGTACAAAACGATCTCCTTCACTCAGGCCAGCCTGGGGAGCGGAGGTGGTGAATGCGACAGTGAGAGGGTGGGGGACGGTGTCAGCCTAAGGCCTCCAGGAGAGAAGAAGAAACAGAGCAATAAGCACTGGGAAAAACTGCAGTTGAAAAATCCTACGTGCCCTGCAAAGGCGTCTCCTTGGGAGGTAGGCTCACACTCAGGAACAGTTGTAGCTAGTGGATTACGGTTCTGGATTTGGATATTTTTAGAGTTTTGGTTTCTTTTTTGGGGGGGGGTCATTTTTTTTAAGATTTTATTTATTTGTGAGAGACAGAGCCAGAAAGAGAGAGATTGTGAGAGAGAGAGGCAGAGACACAGGCAGAGGGAGAAGCAGGCTCCATGCAGGGAGCCCAACGCGGGACTCGACCCCAGGTCTCCAGGATCACACCCTGGGTTGAAGGCAGCACTAAACCTCTTGAGCCACCAGGGCTGCCCGTGGGGGGTGGAGGTCTTAAACCTTCTCCGGTGCTCCTGCTCACACCTGGTGAAGTCTCCAGGGGCTGGGGCTCTATGTAGGCTGGGGCTTCCACAGCGCACTCCTCTGCCCACCAGGCTCATTCCTGGCACGCTTCCTTCCAGATCAGCTGAAACCTCACTTCACCTGGGAAGTGTAGCTCCCAAAGCAGGCCCGCTGCCTGGACATCCTGTCCTTTTCTTCCTCCAGAGTTGATCACAACAGTGCCCGGAGCTGGACTGCTTCAGCTGCTATCTTTGGATTCAAAAGTGTGACACTTTGGGGACTGGACGTGCGCCTGGACTGTGCTAGCTGTGGGTGGAAAGTCTGGCCTAGGACGGGGAGAGGCAGGTGCACTGGGCTGTGAGAGCCAGGGACAGAGAGGTAGGTCCTCAGAGACTTTGCTCTGGTTTTCGCTTTCCGCTCCCTAGCCCAGCACCAGGGATCCAACCAGTTCTATGACAACTTCTTTCTCAAATGCCTGTTATCGCGTAGACGCCAGGGTGAGGAATTGCAACACCAAGGCCATTCCTCGACTGTCGAACTGAATTTGGGAGTCAAGACTCCAACACAAGGAATGTTAGATAGCAGGGAGGAATGAAGTCAAAGATAGCAAAACCAGACAATCGAAAGATTGATCACTTGTGGGCACTGGGTGGTCTGGGTCCAGGAGGCAGGTCCCTGTGGGCTGAGAAGGAAGTGCTCTGAGAGCCCAACCTGAGGGATGACCAGAGGGTGGGGGGTGGGGAGGGGGAGGGAGGAGTGGGAGGAGGAGGCCTGTGATCCTGGCCAGGAGCAGGGAAGCTGGGAGGCTCACTCCAGGGCAATGAGGAGCTCCTTGAGTCTAGAACAGAAAGAAAACATCTGGAAATCCTGGGGGGGGGGTGAGTTAGCACCTGAATTTTGAGGACCCTAAAAGCCAGGTAGAGAAGTCTAACTCATGAAAGAGAAACTACAGCTGCATAAAGTGGTGCAGCTGAGGGGAGAAGTTTAGGAGGAGCTCCGTCTGGGGGCAGCCCTCAGGATGGGCCGGAGGAAGAACCCGGTCAGGAAGGAGGCACATGGTCCCAGAGCACCCACGTCCCACCTGCCAGTGTGGCCGACATCACCGATCCATCAGAGCACACTTTCCTCAGGAGCCCAAATGGGACCTCAGGAATGTGGGGCCCCTCAAGGCTCCAGGCAGACCCTCCCAATCAACCCAGGGTGTGATTTAAATGTTTGCCTTGCAGGCTGCATCACTCAGGAGCATCAATGCTCTGCTGCACTAACCCGTATCCTCAACGTTCAGAGGCTTAAACAGCAAAAGCTAATTGTTCATTCGGGCTCTAAGTCCCACACAGGTCAATCGGAGATTACACTCAGGGCTCGCTCCAAGCAAAGCAGGCCTACGCAGGGCACTTGCAGGCCACTAGGCCAGAAGAGAGAGGGACCTCTGGACGGTCTCCCACTAGCATTTCCATGTGAAGGACAGAAATTACACGTCCCCTCTGCTCGCTACTTGTCAGCCAGAGCTATCACAGCAGGTAAAGGAAGGGCAACCAAAATCTTCAGAAGATGGGGAGTCTGGGAAAATGAACAGCCCAGGCATGTTACTTCTCAGGGCACATGTAATTTATCACTTGTTCATTCAATCAGCGAGAACTGAAAATACATTGAGTGCCCAACATCTTAAAATATTTCCATTTCTTTTGGCCCTTTTATCAATGCTGTGAGGTAGTGGGTATCCCCATTTCCACTTTACCAATCAGCATTTAGGGCTGAGAGAGGTTGAGGTGCCCAGACAGGAATGGGCCTGACTCCATAGCCCAGGCTTTCTTCCAACATCACAAGGACTTCCCTGCTATAGGAGAGTAAGGCAGTGGTTCCAGGGGCCTTAAGGCACAGTGGTTAAGCTTGGGTGTTCTAGAGGTGAGCTGCTGGGTGTGCATCCCGGGGCCCCTTCCTTAGCCATGTGATCATGAGCAAGTTCCTTACCTTCCTATGTCTCAGGTTCCCATCCACAAACCATCATGATACTAATAACACCCCCAACCTCATAGCAGTGCTGTGACAGCTGAGGGAGGAAATGCATGGAAAGCCCTTGCAGCGCCCCTAGCATAGAATCAGGGGTCAAGAAATGACAGCTACGGTCTGAAATCAATATGACCATCTTGTTACGAGGATGTTAGAGTTCACACAGGCTGTGGGCCCCCTAACCCAGAGACCATCTACTTCCCAATACAGCCCTGGGCCCCTAGGTCAAGTGGGCTGCCAAGACCATGCGAGCAAGGAGAAAAGCCACAGGGTGACCTGCACCCCACGGCTCGCCTTCCCCTTATCCTGTTTTGCTTTCTTCTTGGCACTTGGAACTCTCTGAAATGCCCTACTGGTGTATGGATCTGTCATCCTGCTTCCTGTCTGTCTCCCCGACTGGAAACTCAGCTTCAAGTCTGCAATGGTCGGGGGGCCGGGTGCATGGTAGGGGGCTCGGCAGATAATGAATGGGTGGGTGAAGACGTGGAAGTTCTGAGGGCAGGGGCTTTGTCCAGATTTATTTGCTGCTGCCTTCATTGCACAATACCTAGCACACGGTGTACAATATGTGCTGAGACGTCGTCTGCCAGCTGTCTAAAGCCTCGTGCCCAGTGAGGGACTCAGCCTTTCTTTCTCTGCAGAGGATTATGCTAAAGCCTGGCCTCGTCATGTGTGATGCCTGTTGGTTAACGGCTTCCTTATTTTTTTTTAAGATTTTATTTATTTATTCATGAGAGACACAGAGAGAGAGAGGCAGAGACACAGGCAGAGGGAGAAGCAGGCTTCCCGCGGGGAGCCCAATGCAGGATTCGATCCCGGGACCCAGGATTATGCCCTGAGCTGAAGGCAGATGCTCAACCACTGAGCCACCCAGGCATCCCAGGTTAGTGGTTTCCACACAGAGTACCGCCCCCCCACCCCACCCCACCCCCGCCTTCCCCACTGCCCCTACTCAGGGCTCCAGGCTGGGCATCAAAACCACGCAGGGACGAAGGGGAGAAAAGCCAGAGTGAAAGAGAGATGCGAGGAGAGACGGCAGGGGGCGAAGTCTCACACCCTTGAACCCTTGTGCACACGCACAAAGCTATAAATGCTGTCCTTTAATGTGGCCTCTTCTGGAACCTGCTGTGTGGCCATGGACGAGTCACTCTCCCTCTAGGCCTCGGGTTCTCTGATAGTCAAATCTGGGCACCGAAGAAGAACATTTCAAAAGGTCCTTCCGGATCGAAAATGCTAGGAACACAACATCATCTAGGCTTCACTCCTCAGAACCTAGCTTGTGGTGTTAGAGCTTCTCTAAGGCTTTCGTAGACCTTGCAGAAAGCTACCAAATATGTTAACCCTACCTGGCTCCTACGTAAAAAAATAATTCCCGCCTAACTGCAAACCGTGGAGCTGCATTTGACAAACTGTTATAAAGTTATATAAAAAATGTATCACCAGAGCAGCCCTGGTGGCTCAGCGGTTTGGCGCCGCCTTCAGCCCCGGGTGTGATCCTGGAGTCCCGGGATCGAGTCCCACGTCGGGCTCCCTGCATGGAGCCTGCTTCTCCCTCTGCCTGTGTCTCTGCCTCTCTCTCTCTCTCATGAATAAATAAATAAATAAATAAAATCTTAAAAAAATGTATCACCATTTCCATCTTGCAGCTCGGTCTTCATATGTTGAAACTAATACAGAGAGTACCTTCCTGGTCAAACGGACCTATCTGAGATGTTTGGTGAAAATCCCATTTCCCAGGCCCCACCCCGGAGCCACTGAGTTAAAAAATCTGGTGGGGGAAGCCCAGGGATCTGCATTTTACCAAGTTTCCCAGGTGGTCATTTGCAAACTGAAGTTTGAAAACCACTGCCATAAAAAGAAGCTGAGAAAAGGGGCTGGGGCAGGCATTCTGGAGCCAGAAGGAGGGCTGTAAAGGTGAGGAGGGGAAGCAGATGACAGCACGTGGCCCCTGTTTTGCATGAGTGCAAATCGCTTTTGCCCATGTGTGTCCTGCGTGTTCCACCAGCGTAAACATAAATTTGCAAAACCCTGACTCACCCTGTGCTGAGCCCTTCCCCCAGGACTGGAAAAATGATACTCACACTCAGCCCGGGACGGCATTCTCTATCCTGAGCTGCGGGAAGAGAACGTTTCCAACCTATCGGGCTGACTGTTTGAAGACCGATGTCACCACCGCCAGGAACGTGTTGCCAGAAGGAACATAAACAGCGTGGTCACCCAGAGGTTTCCTGCAATTAGTTTCCACCTTTGGTTTGTGACATATACCAGCCCCTGCAGCGAGCTGTCCTAATTGATCCACAGGGAGGGAGGTTTTGTTTAACGTCGCACTACACACACCGAAGTGCTTGATGCACACACGCGCGCACACACACAGATGCCACACATGGTGCGCAGGTGTATATAAGCTTCTGCAATGATCTGAGAGCTGCAGCTTGGCAATCAGGAGTCGCCTGGACCACAATGCTGAGTGCTAGCTAGGTTCCAAGGTACCAGGAAGGGATCATGCTGAGAGGGGGGTGGAAAAGTAGTGAGTGGACAGGAGGGGCCAAGTACTGCGCTGGAGGGTTCCCATCTCGATCAGCGAGAGTGTGACCAGTTCCATTCTTCTGAGGGGGAAACCAAGACACACAGACTTGCTCACGATCCTACAAGATCGAACCCTGACCTAGCTAACCCCGAAGGTCGTGTTTGATCCTTAGTCAGTGCTGTCTTAAAGTTCATAACCTGGGAGCATGGTGGGGAGGGCCGAGCGAGCCCATGGAAACCAAAATAACTCCTTAACAAACAATTGAACTCACAGGCAATAAACGGTCATTGGAAAAAAACAAATCACAGATTAGCAATAGGAAAAAAAAAATCACAGTATAATCTCATCCTCCAAAAAACAATGGCATTTATACTCCTAGGCTGTTGTTCTAGCCCACAAATAAAATGATACGATTTTTGCAATTTTATCAAACATTTTTCCCGGCAATTAACAAATGTTTGTCCACTCCTGATCTTCTGTGAGTTTATATCCATCCATAAATTTCTCTGCAGAGTCTAAGGGGGAGATAAAACCTTTCACTTCTTTTTTTTTTTTGTGTATTTCCTGTTATTGTCTGTTCATCAGCCACTAATGCATTAAGGAAGGGTTAAAGAGTGTTCTCTCTAGACAGAAGTGTGTTCTGGTGGATGATGCAGCTTTGAAAAACATACCCCACCCTCCAAAAAAAATATTCAGGGTTGGTTTCCTCCTTTCCATAGATGAAAATGGAGACTAGATTTTGCAACAACAGAGAAAATGTTGCCCCTCCCCGCCCCCCATGCAAAAAGTATCTTAATGCGAAGGGAAATGCAGTTCTACTATTCAGAGGGACCTGGCACAAGATCTCCCAATGCCCCTCCCCCATTGCAGGGACCAGCCCTCCAAGCACCCCCTACAACTCCCTTCCAGCCTTCTTCTAGTTAGGAGAGTGAAAAATAACCTCCTTTCCTCCCTTTTGGTGTTAACGAGGCTCCCTATTGAGACGCAGTTAATCACATCAATTAAAAACCTCACACTTGGCCTTGCTTGCCAGGTACAGGCCCTCTGTCCAGGGGAAGGTGGGCAAGATAAGTCATGGCCAGAGATAACTTACATTATTTTTGTTTTTCTTCTCCACTTATGCTTTTTTCATTTTTTTTCCATTTTTTTTAAATTCAGGCTCAATTAACAGTGAAACATCCAGTGAACTCATCCAGTTTGATGAGTTTTGACAAATGCATGTACCAAAAACACCAAATCACCAAGATACAAAACATTCTCCTCACCCAGAAAGGTCCCTGTGAGTTTTCCAATCGTCTCTGTCCTCCTCCAGGCGTTTGAAACCACTGTGCTGATTTCCAGCACCATTCATAAATTTTGTGTGCTCCAAAAGTTCACATAAACGGAATCTTGTGATTTGTGAGGATGGGCATGAATGATGAACAAGAACACGCAGGTCCTAGTGGGCACGAAAACCAGCGTAGGAGCTTTGGAAAACAGTCTGGTAGTTCCTCAAAAGGTTACAGAGAGAGCTACCACATGACCCAGCGATTCCACTCCTAGGTATATATACTCAAGGAAATGTAAATGCACATCCTCTCAAAACCTTGTACATGAATCTTCAGAGAAGCATTCATGATTCATAATAACTCCAAACTGGAAACAACCCAACGTCCATCTACCGATGAAAGAACAAAATGAAATGCGGTCCATTTGAACAATAGAATATTACTAAGGCATAGAAAGGCATGAAGCTCAGATGAGCAATACAACGTGGATGGACCCTGAAAACATCAAGTGAAGTGAAAGAAGCTAGTCCCAGAAGTCCACGTAGTGTAGGATTTCATCTGTGTGAGACTTCAGAATAGGCAAATCCATCGGGACAGAAATTCTAGGTTGCTCAGGACTGGAGGACAGGGGGAAAGGGATTGGGAGGAGGTGATAGCTAGTGGGGACAGATTTTCTTTCTGAGGTAGTCAAATGTTCTAGGGTTGGTAAATTGTATGATACGTGAACTGCATCTCAGCAAAGCTGTCTAAAGAAACCAAACATTCAGAATCGCCCAAAGCGGAGCCAGTTACGATACACGGGAAAGAGAAGAGTTCTTCTTCAGTGGGATTTTAACAGAAGTGTTTGGCATTGCAGCCCAAGAACCCTGTGCCATCTAGGGGGAACGTGACTATGGTCCAGGATGGTCTCCTTCCCACGAGAATGTCCTGGAGTTTACTGCTTTTCCCAGGAGCCCCTGTCTTATATCTCCAGAATCTAAATTCTGAAGAGTCCAGGAGTGATTCACTTTATTTATTCACTCATTCCACCAACATTTACTAAGTTGGTATTAGTAGAAAGCACATAATCATAACTAGTCTTGCTGTATTATCTCTGTGGCCTCATATGATTACATTTTGGGGGGCATAGTAAATGCCTCTGCATGTTTGGTTGTGTGTTTAGGAGGTGACCCCAGGAGACGGCGGTGGGTGGGGAGGGTAAGAGCTCCTTATGAGAGAAAGGTCAAGAACTCTGGTTCTCAATCCAATGGATTCTACTACTCACAGATGCATACCTTTGCCTCTTCCTGCCTCATGTCCCTCCCCTGCAAAGACCAATAATCTGTCCTACGGTGGAACCATTAGGAGCCCCAGCTCAGGAAACCAAACCCACACTCTACCACCTACAAGCTGTGTATGACTTCAGGCAGTTTCTTAACCTCACTCCTCATGTGCACAGTGAGGACTGGTGGCAGTCGCAGCCTGCCCAATGCAGGATTAGGTGGGTTCACACGAGACTCGGCCTACGAGGAGCCAGACAGAGAATATTCTGGGGCACTGTGGACCATGCCATCTTCACAATCAGAGCACCAGCTACTCATCTTCAATCAGAGCGTCAAAGCCAGCACAGACGACACCTGAAAGAAAGGGCATGCTGTGTTCCAATAAACCTTTATTTATGGATAATGAAACCCGATTTCAGGCAATTTTCATGGGTCTGAAAATAGGATCCTTCTTTTGATTATTTTTCTCAACTCTTTGGGAATGCATTGGACCAAAAAAAGGCGGTGGGCCTGACCTGGCCTGTGAGCGGCGGTTTGCCAGCCTCTGATGTAAAGCACTTGGAACACCACCTGGCACGTAGTAGGCACCCAGCACCCATGAACCACACCCCAGGCAATGAGAGCCAAGCCTCCGCCACATGTTAACACTGTGCATTGCGCTCTCCGTGCGCCATATCTCATTTAAATCTCCCCTTGATTGTAGGCAGGTAATGTGATCGCTCAGATGAGAAAGCCAAGGTCAGCAAAGGGACGGGGTGATGGTAAATCCAGGTCTTTCTGTCGTGAGCTCTTGCTTCTGACCGTTACAGAATGCTGTGCCGGCTGCCAGGACACAACAGGGAACCAGACCCACTCAGGCTCCGCTCCAAACACCACAAATCATGATTTAATTAATTTGAGACATTTGTTACCGAAAGCAAGGCCTGGAAGGAGGAACAAGGGTATTACACAGCTTACGGTGAGGGAGGTCCTCCGATGAAGGGGGACATGGCAGTTGGGAACAGTGGCCATGTGTCTGGTGCTGTGCCAAGTGTCAAAGAGAAGAGGCTAGAAAAAGCACGTCCGCCCCGGCTCCCTGTTGCGGAGGGCTCAGGGACGTGACAGTGTCAGATACGGTGGCGGAGGGAGAAACGAGTGCAAACCTCCCGAAGGCCACGCAGCAAGCTGAACAGCCTCTTCCGTTTTATGGGAATCTATCCTCATAAAATAGGAAAATACAGTGCGAAGATTTAACTAGGAGAATATTCGCGGAAGCGCGGTTTGTGGTAGTGCGAGCGCTGAATTCGCAAGTGGCCAGACGCTCCAGAAAAACTGGAGGGCCTCAGGCACTTGGTCTGAACAGTGGCAAAGCCGTGTGTCCGAGCAATCAGGTGCTGAAGGGGCAGGAGTGTGCATGCTGATGTGGAGGGACGTGGAGCATGGATTCAGGGACAGAGCCCTGTGCAAGCCAACAGGTGCACTCCCATTGTCACAAGCGTACACATGGGCTCATGCATATACATCGGTCCTTTTACTCAGTCACCCCTGAAGGATGATGACAGATGCGTTTTTAGCCTCCTCCTTTTGTGTGTCTGCATTTGGAGGGGTTTCTGGAACAGATCCTCGGTGCTTTGTGAGAAGAAATTAAGGACAGCTGGTGGCCGGAGAGGAGTTCAAGTCTCCAAAGCGGCCTGAGCGCTAAAGCAAAGTGCTATGGATTCATTCATCCAGGGCCTCCGAAGGGTCCGCTGCGAGCGGGGACTGGGGGATGCGCTGAAGACGGAGGGAGACGAGGCACATGGAGCTCCTCGTTTCATGGGCGGCAGGTCAGGGGAAGACATCAGTGCACTCAGGAGGGTTTGCAGTTCCATGGGGTTTGCAGAGGGAACACCAGATCACGGGGAAGGGAGACACCTCGTCCTAGACCTTGGAGGCAGCCTCCGTGACTTGACATAGTCTCAGCTAATGACCTACTGATCAGAGGGCTCCTGGGAGCCGGGAGCAGCCCAGTGTTTGGGCTCAGTGTGAGGCCCCGAGCCTTCGTTTTTCTCATTCTCCAGGCCGAGACCCTCCCCGGGCAGCTGTGTGGAGCCACTGAGGTTGGCGAGGCACTCCGCAATGGCCAAGCCCTGTGCACACGACAGGAGTGATTGAACGCCAAGATCTGAACCCCTTTCTACAAGGGTTGACAACCTGGAATTTAAATCATGATGGGTGCCAAGGATGGGGAAGTAAACATGTTTACCACTGAAAGACTCCACTGAGAAAGGCAGTGGGCAGTGTGATTCCCTGTCACCGCACCCTGGCCGGCCCCACGCCTTCTGTGGCTTCCAACTCGGCCAGCACCAGGGCAGCTCCCGACTTTCTGGAACCTGTTTGTAACCCTAAGGACAGTCTGTACATTTTTAAATTGAAACACTTTCTCTGCAAGATTTTGTTGACAGACGTTCAAGGGAAGTATTTAGGACCTATGGCCTTGAAAAGAAACCCTACGTATCTCATGTCGGGTATAGTAAAGAGAAAAGGCTCTCCAGTTAGGTGGACAAAGGTTTAAATGCTGGCTCTTTTCGTGCATTGATTATTATATTCTAGCTTCAGGATAATAATATCTTTCCTGCAGGGTAATAATTAGAGCAACATATGTATAAAGCATAGATGTCCAATAAATGACAGTGCTGTTTTTTTTTTTTTTTTTTCCCCCTCTGGTGGGAAGAACCAGGGAACAAAGCAGCAGGGTCACAGGGCTCAGAAGTTGTACCCTGGGGGAAATCAGCTCATAATGAAGCAAGGGATGGAGGCCCGGGGTGGTCTGACCACGCAGAGCTAACCCTGACCTTGGCTCAGCCTGGAGAAGGTGAAGCAAGGAGGTCATATCTTTCTCTGTGAGGTGGAAATGTTAAATTAGATCGAAACTTCAAATTTGAAACCAGCCCTGTGCTCTGCACTCCTCTAAGATCCTGACTGCATGTGTGTCTCTCTGCAACTTCTCAAGGATGGGTGAGGGAATTGCTCCTGCATTGAGGGCACCAGGTGTTGGCCTGGGAAGGGCTCACTCCCAATTCCAGCTGGGCACCAGCTCTCACGCCCAATTTTAAAATTTTCTGGAAAACGCGACCTGGGCTCAGGACAAGGCAGGCTGCAAGCATGTACATATGGGGAAACAGCCTTAAAAGCAATGTACAAGGACCAAGGGCTGGGGGCACCTGGGTGGCTCAGTTGGTTAAGTGTCCGAACCTTGATTTTGGCTCAGGTCATGACCTCAAGATCATGGGATCAAGCCTTGCATCAGGCTCCATGCTCGGCATGGAGTCTGATTGTCCCTCTCCCTCTGCTCCTTCCCCTGCACTCTCTCACTTTCTCAAATGAATAAATAAATAGTCTTTTTAAAAAAGCGATGTACTAAATTTCATACACACAACACACACACAGATGTGTGCATTCACAGGTATGTGTACATGTATACACACAAATACAGACAGACATTTAGGTGTGCATATGTATATGCACAAATACAAGCACATTCTTCCTTTTTTAAAAAAAGATTTTATTTATTTATTTATGAGAGAGGCAGAGACATAGGCAGAGGGAGAAGCAGGCTCCCTGAGGGGAGGCGGATGTGGGACTCAATCCCAGGACCCCAGGATCATGCCCTGAGCCAGAGGCAGATGCTCAACCACTGAACCACCCAGGTGCCCTACAAGCAGGTTCATGCACATACAGGTGCACATGTGTATAGGTACACCCCCATATATACATATAGGTATATCCTCACACAAGCTCCACTTAAGTACTAATATTGTCCCCATTTTCCTAAAGAGGAACCTGAGTCATGGAAACAAGAAACTTGCCTAAGGTCACACAGAGTCTGCTGCAGAGGCAGGGTTCGAAACAAGACGGGCTGGCTCCAGAGTCCCTGCTGGTACTCATTAGATGACAACAGATAACCCAAGGGTTAAACAGCAGAAGCCGAGAGGCATTAACTCTGAAAGCAACTTGTGCCCTGGGGTTGACTGTGTCCAGTGAGGTTGGCCAAGAATTCCTCCCATTTCTGTACACGCATGTTTGCATGTTTCTTGTTTCTCCCGTCCAGAGTTAGGGTTCACTTCTCCTGCCCCCGAATCTGGGCTGACCTGTGACTCCTTGAGCAGGAGAATGGGAAGGAGCTGATGTTGCGTTGGTTCCACGCCTTGCCCCCGGGAGGCTGGCAGCATGCACACCAGGCACTTGAGGATCCGGCCGCACAGAGAAAGAAGGTCAGGCTGGATATGATGGCGAAATCTTAGAGACAGTGAGAGGCCCCAGCTGCTGCCCCCATCATCTCAGCTGAGGCCCCACGTGGCCTCACAGAGCTCCTCCAGGAATGCAGCCACATGGACTCCAAGTGTAGCAGAAGAACCACCTGGCAGGGCTCAGCCACTCTACAAGACTGAGAAAAATAAACAGTCCTTGTCTTAAGCCACTAAATTTTCAGGCGGTTTGTTACACAGACAACTGGTTCATGCAACTATGTGGCTTGCAATACAATAACCAACATTATTTGTTGAGTGCTATGCTGGGCAGCATATTAAGTGCTTTACATTTACTGTCCTATTTACTCTTTATCACCACTCACCACATAGCACATATTAAAATTATTTCCATTTTACCCACAAAGAAGCTGAAGCCCAGTGAAATAAACAAATAGCCTTCCCTAGGTAGTGGCAGTTCTTAGATGTGGACCTAAATCTGACTCATTCTAACTGCATGTACCAATCAGATTTCTCCAAAGAAAAGAACCAATAGCGTGTGTGTACACATCCACAATGGTTAGACACCGTGGCCCAGACAAGTTGACACATGAAAGTAAGCATCACACTGCATCTCCCCAACTCTGTGCCTCCTACCCCTGCAAAACTGGACCCCACATTCCCGGCCCAGAGTCATGATTTACCATCATGGACCACACAATTGGCAAAATAAATAAGACATGTAATCAGAGCCTGTCACATTAAATGGTGGGGTGCCTCAAGTATGTGGTGAGAGAGACTACTGACCACATCGAAGCCACCAAGGAATTAGCTTAGAGAAGGCACCTGGCGTGGCTGAAATAGACCAGAGGTGCTTCCATCAACAGGTGACAGGAACCAAGATGGCGCCATGGAATGCCAACTGGAAAAGGAGGGGAGGAACTGAGGTTGGTTCTAGGAACCGGCTTTAATTCCAAACAGTGACCTTGGGTCATTCGTCATCTCTCTGAGCTTCATGTTCCCAAGCAAGCTTGGTGATGTCCAAAGAATGGTCAAGTTCTTTCCATGACTCTTTGTGGCTTCAGATCCAGCATGGGTCATTGTATAGCATCTACTTTTGACGTGGCAGTGGAGGATGTCCAGTGATCA